TCCTAGGCTAATGTATGTGTGTGTGTATGGGGGTTCGCTTTACTCTTCATTATTTAATTATTTTCTAAGCTTTATGTCTTATCATAAGGTAAATAAATTATGCTCTAATGTGTATGTTTGTGTCAATTTTTAACAAAAAAAGTTTAAAAAGTAAAAAAAAAATTAAATAGAATAAAAGCTTATAAAGGCCAGGCTCAGTGGCTCATGCCTGTAATTCTAGCACTCTGGGAGGCCAAGGCAGGATGATTGCTTGAGCTCAGGAGTTCAAGACCAGCCTGAGAAAAAGCAAGACCCTGTCTCTACTACAAACAGAAAAATTAGCCAGGCATCTTGGTACATGCCTATAGTACCAACTACTCAGGAGGCTGAGGTAGGAAGATTGCTTGAGCCCAGAAGTTTGAGGTTGCAGTGAGCTATGATGATGCCACTGCACTCTACCCAGGGCAAATGAGTGAGACTGTCTCAAAAAAAAGCTTATAGAATACATATGTAAATATAAAGAAAGAATGGTAAATTATACATACATATTTAACCTCAATTTAAAAAAAGGAAATATTTTTGTACAGGTGTATAATGTGTGTTTTAAGCCAGGTGTTATTATAAAAAAATCAAAAAGTGTAGAAAATTTAAAAATTCTATGAGTAGAAAAGTTATTGTAAGCTAAGGTTAATTTGTTATTGAAGAAAAATTTTTATAAATTTAGTACAACCCAAATGTACAGTGTTTATAAAGTCTACAGGAGTGCACAGTAATGTCCCAGGCCTTCACATTCACTCACCACTCACTCACTGACTCACCCAGACCAACTCCCAGTCCTGTAAGCACCATCCATGGTAAGTACCCTATACAAGCGTACCATTTTTTATCTTTTATACTTATTTTTACTGTACCTTTTCTATGTTTAGATATACAAATACCACTGTGTTTCAGCTGCCTACAGTTTTCAGTATAGTAACATGCTATATGTTTGTTGCCTAGGAGCAATATGCTGTAACATAAAGCTTAGGTGTGTAGTAGACCAGCAGTCCCCAACCTTTTTGGTACCAGGGACCTATTTCATGAAAGACAATTTTTCCAGGGACAGAATGGGCAAGGATCAGGCAGTGACGCAGTGATGCAGAGGGATTGGGAGCAGCTGTAAATACAGGTGAAGCTTCGCTGGCTTACCCGCCCTCCACTCACCTCCTAAGTTTAATAGAAGACAATTTTTCCACGGGGATGGGTGGTGGGCATGAGGTGGCCAAGCTCTGCAGCTCTGTCCCTAAAAGGCCACTGACTGGTAGCAGTCTGCGGCCCAGGGGTTGGGGACCACAGTAGTAGGCTACGCCATCTAAGTTTGTGTAAGTACACTGTATGATGTACACAATTAAAAAAAATCACCTAACAACACATATCTCAGAACGTATCCCCTAGAACTTTGGACCTCAACACACGGGCTGCGGACGATCAACCTCCTTTGCCCTCCAGGAACCTCTCCGTAAAGCAGGAGGTGAGCGGCAGGCGAGAAAGAAGCCCCACCTGCACCCACAGCTGCTCCCCATAGCTTGCAACACTAACTGAGCACCCCCATATCAGATCAGAGAGGGCATCAGCTCCTCATAGGAGCATGAACCCCACTGCAAGCTACACATGCAAGGGATCCAGGTTGCAAGCTCCCCGTGAGAATCCAACACCTGATGATCTGAGGTGGAGTCCAGTTAGCCACTCCTCCTACCTCACTCCATCCATGGAAAAACTGTCTTCCATGAAATTGGTCCCTGTTGTCAAAAAGGTTGGGGACCACTGCCCTAGAACATATTTCTGAGGTCAAGCAATGCATGACCATATCTTTATCTCTTTTCCTTCACACTGTATGTATGTTTCTTGACACTGGTTAAATTTATAAACCAGGTCCTGTTTATACTTACATTACTACTGTAATGACACTAATAATATTCTGTAAACTATTCTATCTTGAGTAAAGCCATTAGTGCCCTTTAAAAAAAAAATGGGCCGGGTGCGGTGGCTCACGCCTGTAACCCTAGCACTCTGGGAGGCCAAGGCAGAAGGATCGCTCAAGGTCAGGAGTTTGAAACCAGACTGAGCAAGACCCCGCCTCTACTAAGAATAGAAAGAAATTAATTGGCTAACTAAAAATATATATACAAAAAATTAGCCAGGCATGGTGGCGCATGCCTGTAGTCCCAGCTACTCGGGAGGCTGAGGCAGCAGGATCGCTTGAGGCCAGGAGTTTGAGGTTGCTGTGAGCTAGGCTGATGCCATGGCACTCACTCTAGCCTGGGCAACAAAGTGAGACTCTGTCTCAATAAATAAATAAATATTGGGTCAACTATCCTATTAGGTTTAAATTTTACATTCCCACAATGTGTGGCAGCTAATACTTTCAGTCTCTGGCATGTCTACTGAGAACATAAAAGTTCTCCTGGAACTAACAAATTATTTCCCTTCCAACACAATTATATAATCTGAGAGTTGAGCAGCACCCTAGAGATTATTTTGTGATCCAAAACCCCTCCCAATTAAGGGATCCTATCTAAAACCACTCAACTTTTTGGTCAAGGAGGGATACTAAACTTTAAGTCCCATATGATAGAGTGCTGCACCCATAGGAGGCTCTTTAATAACTACTTGTTTAATTGAACTGAACAAGTCTAAAATGGGCCCATTTCATTAATTTTCTTGTTCTCTCCAGGCTTTAGCTATACCACTCACTAAATCTGTAATTAAAGATTTTCATGCTTCCCCTGCTCATTAACCAATATCCAAAAAGGAATTCAATAAAGGAAACTCCATGATAACTCAGATGTTTCAATCCGTTAAAAAACATTTATTTTAACAGTTTAAAAATTTTAGCTCCTAAAAGGCAAGTCCTATGCCAGGTCTGACTTGCTAGCCTAAACACACAAGTAAGCATGCAACATTAATGCTTGCTAATGTCAGTACTTAATAAAACTCTTAACAGAAAATGGAAAATCAAATCTTTTTTAGTTTGCTTCTGATCTATAAAGGGTTTCCAATTTATCCAAAGTACTCACATGTTTTCAATTTCTAGCATGATTTTTTAATATAAAAAGTCTTGCCGGGCACGGTGGCTCACGCCTGTAATCCTAGCACTCTGGGAGGCCGAGGCGGGCGGATTGCTCAAGGTCAGGAGTTCAAAACCAGCCTGAGCGAGACCCGTCTCTACCATAAAAATAGAAAGAAATTAATTGGCCAACTAATATATATAATATAAAAATCAGCCGGGCATGGTGGCTCGTGCCTGTAGTCCCAGCTACTCGGGAGGCTGAGGCAGGAGGATCGCTTGAGCCCAGGAGTTTGAGGTTGCTGTGAGCTAGGATGACGCCACGGCACTCACTCTAGCCTGGGCAAGAAAGCGAGACTCTTGTCTCAAAAAAAAAAAAAAAAGTCTTGCATCATCCATAGAACTAAATTATATACCTTTTTACTTATAATTGGGGTGCTCATAGGCTTAACCATAGTAATGTAGTAAGACATGTTATTGTGCTAATTATTTTCCCTCTAGTTAACAGCCTGTGATCCCATCTGATTTCCCATATGATAGGATAACGAAGAAAACAAAACTTCTGGAGCAGTAGCCACCAATGATTTTACTTCACTCAAGTATGTATTCCAAAACAGTCCATAATTTACAACATGGCCCTGCTTAGTATCCCTATTACAATGCATCTGTTTGGGGGACTTTTATAATACATGCTAGGACAGAAAGTATACATTTCCAAATCGCCTTTCCTTCCGTTTTGCTGAAAGGGAGCACAGGTACCATCCCTCAGCAGCACAATAAGTACTTCACTAACTAATTTTATTCAGGCAATAATTTAAATTCCCACTTCCTCCTAAGTATCTCTGGACAGCAATTCCTGGCAATCCATCTGTCTCTTTCATCACAGCTTCTTTTCATAACTAACGGGTCAAGTTCCTTTCCCCCATTTCAACATGATGCACTGTACTGTAGCCCTGCCACTATAGCCCACTGCTGAATGCCAGAATATAACATACTGAATTTCACTGTCCTTCATTGTTTCCAGTTTAACTGCCATTTTACCACCATGCACAGAGGAGAAATGCGTTCCCACAGGCATCTTACGAATTTCCAAAGCAGCTATTCTTTGTGGATTTACGAAACATGTGCCTTCTCTGAATTCTCTTCATCACCACAGAAACGGCTTTGGGAAGCTAAGATTTTTTTTAAGTACCCTAAGCAAAAAGAGACTGATTCTAAAAGCACTTCTATTTTCCTAGCAAATTTAATACTAAGGGTCTTCCCCACAGAGCAGTGGGAAAACGTCAGGGCAAAGATTTTAAGTACTGATCTTGGTCTTTCCAATTAAAATGAAAATGTTTCAGTCCACAAAGATTATTTTATCAAATGTCCTTTCTTCTCAGGCTACACCATGAGGGCTACCGACCCCACTGTAAAATAAACAGCTGGTTGTAGCTTGTGCACAACGCCCTAAATCTTACTAAGATACCCCCCCCCAATTTGGGCTCACAGACGCACATAATCCCTCGGCAAACCCCAAACCTGCCAATGAAATGGACTATTTCCCTGCCACAAAGGCCGGCCTGCGCCTCGTGCAAGGCGGCCTCTGCACACATGTGCTGGGCTGACAAGTGCGGAGCTGCCCTTCCTGGATCAAAGCTGGAGGCTCGGGCCGAAATCACTCTTCCCAACCTACCGCCTTCTCCCGGCAGCCACTGTCTGGTGACAGGCGGCCAGTCCTAAGCGCCCCAGCCGCGGGCTGGCAGCCCCTCCGTCCGGGGCGTCACGTATGGCCACGCTCAGACCCACTTCCCCTCCGCCCCAGCGTCCCTTTCCTTCCCCCCCTTTTTCGCCTCAGGAAATTCCGTCGGAACATCCCTCGCCCCGAGCGGGGCGGCCTGGGCACACCCTCCTCCGGCAGCCGCGCCCCCAGCGCTCCGACCTGAAGCGGCTGGCGACCCCCGCGACCCTCGGCCGGCCGGGCCCCGCGCCTCACCTCCTCCTCGCTCTCGCTGCGAAAACACAGGCATGCGGCCCGCTTCTTGTAGCCGTCGCCGTCGTAGGTGCGGGTCTGGTTCGACTTGAGCTTCATCATCCTCCGAGCCCGAGTGGGGGTGCGGTGCGGGTCGCGGGTGTCGAGGGGAGGGGAGCCCGCTCCGGACGGCCGCGCGCGCGCGCGCGCCCCCGACTCAGCCGAGGGAAGCAGACAAGTAGAGCTGCTTCTCTGCTACACGGCTCCGCCGCTGCCCCACCGTGGTCGCCTCATTCCCCCCGACCGAGGTCCCGCGCCGCCGCCGTCACGGCTGCCGTCGCCGCTGCCGCCACGGCCGCCGCCCCCTCTGCCGCCGCCACCCCCGACGACGACCGCGCCGCCATCTTGGGCGCGCTGCGTCAGCGGCGTAAGGCCGCGCCGGCCTGCGGAACGACCGCGCGCTCGCAGCGCAGGCCGCGTTCGGGAATCGCGCCCTCCCAGTCCGCGCGGCGTAAACGAGCGTCTGGAATGAGAGCTCCGCGCGACTCGGGGCGGCTGCTACGTCGGCGGCGTAGGCGTGGGGATGGTGGGGCGCGCAAGTAGGCAGCCAAGGGGAATAGGGGTACGGGCGCAGGACCTCCTGGCCGCCGGGGCTGAGACCCCGCCATCCAGCTGCGCCAGTCAGCGGAGGGGGAAGCGAGGACTCGCCCAAGGTTATGCCGCCTATTTGATGAGCCAAGGTCACGCCACCCGCCCGTTGTCCCTGCCGGTCTGTCCCTGCCGGGAGGGGATGAGGGGGAAGGTGTGGAAAAGATAATAAGATGCAGTTAAACGCAATGGAGAGGGCATCCTGAGAGGTGTGTGATTTGGAATTGCACGAAAACGGGGCGTGGGGATGGAGGTGAGTCGTGCAGATTGTGTTGACAGCCTGACGCTCTGGAAGGCTGTGGGCATGTCGTCCATTAGAAAGAAGATATATTACCCTACAATCCTTTATTGGTGCAAAAAGCAAATGCTTCCTCTTAAGGTAAACAAGAGGGCCAGGAAAGAAGGTGTATGTGTAAGTCTGCACACGAAATGTAAATCATAAAACATCATGGTTTCTGACGATAAACGAGGCGTATGTATTGTGGATGTCAAAACACGTTCTGGAGAAAGGAAAAACAGGATATGACCTGTGAATGTTCTCAGCTACCCACTCCAAACCTAGTACCATGCTAGTGCCCTAAACACCAAAATTCCTGTGCAGTATTTGTTTGTGAATTGCTTATTAACCTTGAATTTGTTTGTGTTTAGCATAGTCAAAAAACATTAGAATTTGAAACCAAACGTACCTGGGTTGTAACCTCAATTATATCATTTTTTACCTCTATAAAATAGGGATAATAAACCTACTTAAGCACATAGAAGACACTCAATACATTGTAGCTAATACTGACATTTCACTCAACCCTTGCCACATAAGGCTTGGAATTCAGTTCATTTCAATCAATGCCTATGCAACAGAATTCCCAAACTCTTGGGAATTATGTCTTTGATTTAAAAGAAGGGAAGAAAAAAACGGAAGTTTCATTTGTAGAAATAGTACATATGCATTATCAAAACTTTGAAAAAATACAGGGGCCATTAAAAAACTAAATAATGGATATCTTTGAGCATATTCTGTAAAGAGCCATACTTGGTTTTTTTTCTGGTCTTTCCCCTGTGTCATTAAGTTTCTTATACCATTTCTAATTACTATAATCCAACACAGAGATGTAACATCAATTATTTTGCCATTTCCCACTGTTAGAAGCTTAGGTTGGATCCTAAGCTTAGAACCACAGCAATAAACACCCCCGTATGTATGTAAACCCTTATCCCTATCTTGGTGAGTTTCTCAAGATAATTCCCAGAAGCAGATCAAGGGGGAAGGACCATATTTATGGCCTTTGCTGCCTGAGTACAGTACAACAATCTACATTTATTAAAATATAGTTAAGTCGTCTTCATCTGGAACATCATCATAGTAAAATGGTAGCCACAGCTTTCCTTCTTCCCCCTGGGGACACGCGATACCTAAAGATGAGCGTCCAATCCTCACTTCACTGAGACTTTCCCATCAAAGTCTCAGCTTGCAGCAGGCACAGGATGGCCGGGACCTGACAGGGGGAGCTGACCTTGTTGGTGGGGCTGCCGGCACTTTCTGGTCACCTCTGGGACAGTAGCTGTCACGATGGAGCAAATGAGAAGGACTGCTCATCTTCTTTACCGGTCCATGACGAAATGCATGGGTTGTGCAGACACCATGCATAGCCATACCCATCACTAGGTCTTATTTTCGGGGTAGGGCTCATATTGCGCAAATGCTTAGAAATCCTGCTAGGGCTTATTTTATGGGTAGGTCTTATTTTCGGGAAAACACGGTACTATCTGCCACTTTCTTAAGGTTGAGAACAGGATTGAAAATAGCACTGTAGGTGTCAGTACACCAGAATAAAGGTAATAAGCAAGTCTAGTGCAGGGACTGTGTCATTTACATGCACATCTCCATCTCTTAGCACAGGCCTTGTCAAAATTAAGAGCTGAGTAAATACTGAAAGAATACATGGAGGTTTTCTGTTGGTTTCTCATTCTTTTATTTTTTTTTCGAGACATAGTCTCACTCTTTTGCCCAGGCGTCAGCCTAGCTCACAGCAACCTCAAATTCCTGGGCTCAAGCGATCCTTCTTCCTCAGCCTCCTGAGTACCTGGGACTACAGGCATGCACCACCATGCCTGGCTAATTTTTTCTATGTATTTTTGGTTGGCCAATTAATTACTTTTCATTTTTAGTAGAGATGGGGTCTCACTGTTGCTCAGGCTGGTTTCAAACTCCTGACCTTGAGCAATCCTCCCGCCTCGGCCTCCCAGAGTGCTAAGATTACAGGTGTGAGTCACTGCGCCTGGCCGGTTTCTCTTTTTTTTTTTTTTTGGACAGAGTCTCACTTTGTTGCCCAGGCTAGAGTGAGTGCCATGGCATCAGCCTAGCTCACAGCAACCTCAATCTCCTGGGTTCAAGCAATCCTTCTGCCTCAGCCTCCTGAGTAGCTGGGACTACAGGCATGTGCCACCATGCCCGGCTAATTTTTTTGTATATATATTTTTAGTTGGCCAATTAATTTCTTTCTATTTTTAGTAGAGACGGCATCTCACTCAGGCTGGTTTTGAACTCCCGACCTGGAGCAATCCGCCCGCCTCGGCCTCCCAGAGTGCTAGGATTACAGGCGTGAGCCACCGCGCCCAGCCCGGTTTCTCATTTTTTACCACAGCTTTTTAGGAACCTATTTAGTTTGAAGAGCCCACGAAATCACTCCCAGATCCTTTGCCTAAAGTAGTAATAATTTTTTCTTCATTCAGGGAGCATTAACCAAGGGATCCCATCCTTTCCTTGAAAATAATAGTAAGGTAGTAGATTTAAATTTCTAAAAAATTATACTAACATTATTCTAGTTAAATATTTCTCCAAAAGTCCTAAAAGAAAAGACTAGTATATAAAATGTTGCCTGTTTTCTTATGTCCACATCAGAGCATGGTATTTATTCAGCTTCCTAAGCCAGAAACCTGGGAGTCATTGTTGATATATCTCTTACCCACTGTCCAATTAATAAACTCCATCACTTCTGCCTTCTTGACATCCTCAGGCCCAGCCCTTTCCTGCCTTGCCCTCTGCCATTACTCCATTAGAGTTCTTCCCTTTTGCCTAAACTGTGGCCTTCCATCTGGTCTTCTTGGCTCCCATCCACCCACTTCAGCAAGAAGAATCCTTCTCAAATGTAAATCTGATTAAGTCAAACCCCTGATTAAAATCCTATAGTTGCTCTTCAGTGCTTTGAAGATAAAAATTAGAACCCTATCAGGAAATACAAGACCTTACAGGAGCTGGGCCCCTGCCTTCCTCACCCCTTCTCTCAATTCCTATATTCTAGTCATTCAGAACTACCTACAGTTTCTTGAACTGCTAGACAACCTTCCAAGTCTTCGAACATGCTTTCTCTGCTGTCTGGGAGGCACTTGTTCAAAGACTCACACACTCCATTATCCCGCCCCTCCCTTCCATGCAGAGAGGCCAGATCATATTTATCCTTCAAAATTCAGATTAAAAGTCACCTCCTCTGGAAGTCCTCTCTAACTGCCTCTGTGTGTCCTATTGGCCTGAGATTGTCCTGATTTATCACATTATTTGTAACATAGTGCTGTCATTCTCTTCCTGCCGATCTCCCCTACACATTTAAAACTTCTTGAAGGCAGAGTCAGTGTGTCATTTATCCTTGCTTAATTCACCCAGCAATTATCCTGGGGCCTCGCATAAACAGCTGAAAAAAACATTTGTTAAATGAAAGAATAACTATTGCCCTTCCAGACCCTGATCTTTATTGTAGAGCCCAATCACTTGCCCAGTATGGAATGAGAATAACTTGTCTGTAGGAATACACCCACCTGACACACCTAAAATCTGTCTTCTGAGTGAAGATCACATAGCATTCTCCTGCTTCCACATTTCAGGGACCATCTGCAGTATCTGTGATAGCCCATCCTGGATGACATGGTGAGTACGATAGAGAAGATTGCTTTTCACACTCTCCTTACTCCATCTCGCACCCTTAACATGCCTCTCCTCCCACCTCCCCAGGCCTACCTTGCCACATGCCGTCAAGTTCCCCAGGAGCACCTTCTGTTTTTGATCTTTACTTTTGTATTAGTTACCCACTCCTGTATAATGAATCTCCCCAAAACTTAGTAGCTTAAAACATGAATCATTATTTCTCATGGTTTCCATACGTTAAGAATCCTGGAATGAGCTGGGCATCCGCTTACAGTCCTAGCTCCTTTGGCGGCTGACGTGGGAGGATCACTTGAGCCTAGGCATTAGAGTCTGGCCTAGACAACATAGCGAGACCCTATCTCTAAAAAAAATAAAATCAAAATAAAAAAAATTAGGTAAAGAATACTGGAGTGGCTTGACTGAGTAGTTCTGGCTTAAAGTACCTCATTAAATTATAGTCTGAGGCCGGGCGCGGAGGCTCACGCCTGTAATCCTAGCACTCTGGGAGGCCGAGGCGGGTAGATTGCTTGAGGTCAGGAGTTCAAAACCAGCCTCAGCAAGAGTGAGACCCTGTCTCTACTATAAATAGAAAGGAAATTAATTGGGCCAACTAACATATGATACAGAAAAAATTAGCCGGGCATGGTGGCGCATGCCTGTAGTCCCAGCTACTCGGGAGGCTGAGGCAGAAGGATTGCTTGAGCCCAGGAGTTTGAGATTGCTGTGAGCTAGGCTGATGCCATGGCACTCACTCTAGCCTGGGCAACAAAGCGAGACTCTGTCTCAAAAAAACAAAACAAAAACAAAACAAATAAATTGTAGTCTGGTATTGGCTGGGGCTGCAGACAACTGAAATCTTGACTGCACCTG